ATTCCAGACACCTCTCCCTATGAAGACTTATAGATCGTTTTATTATTTTCAACTGCTCCTTTGCGTGAATAAGGATGCGTAATGCAACTAACTAGGTGTTTTAAAGAAGCAATGCTGGTGTAGGATTAAGAATATTCAAGTACTGCAGAATGATGAACCATAAAAAAATAAATAAATAAAAGTCTCTATCTTCCTTCTTCACCCTTGCCCAGAAGATTACATTGTTAACTACAGACTTTCAGGTTTTAATTATTACACTTAATTTTGGTAACAGTTTTAGATTTGTAGAAAAATTGAGCAGATAGTACAGCATTCCCACATACCTCCTCCCCAACTGAAGTTGTTTGTGTTAATATCTTGCGTTAGTGTTGTTCATTTGTTATAATTAAGAATGGCACATGCCTATGATTCCAGCAGGCTCAGGGAGGCTGAGACAAGAGGATCATAAGTTCAAAGCCTGCCTCTGCAACTTAGCAAGGCCCTAAGCAACTCAGTGAGACCCTGTCTCTAAATAAAACACAAAATAGGGCTCAGGATATGGTGCAGTAGTTGAGTGCCCCTGAGTTTAATCCCCAGTATAAGTAAGTAAATAAATAAATATTGATACATTTATTTATTTATTTTTTAAAAATATTTTTTAGTTATAGATGGATGCAATATCTTTATTTTGTTTATTCATTTTTATGTGGTGCTGAGGATTGAACCCAATGCCTCACATGTGCAAGGCAAGTGCTCTGCTACCGAGCCACAACCTGATACATTTATTTTTAACTAAAATCTACAGATTATTTTTACTCCTTTCCCCCGCCCTTATGGTACAGGAGATTGAACCCAGAGGCACTTTACCATGAGCTACATTCCCAGACCTTTTTATCTTTTTTTTTTAATTTTTAATTTTTTTAAAAAAATTTTGAGACAAGGTCTTGCTCATTTGCCCAGGCTGGCCTCTAACTTGTGATCCTCATGCTTCAGCCTCCTGAGTGGCTGGGATCACAGGCATGTGTCACTGAGCCAAGCTTATGTTTACTCTAGATGTTGCACAGTTGTGTGGGCTTTGACAAATGCATAATGTCTCATCCACCATTATCATATTATACAGAACAGTCTCCTGTAACCATCTTTGGTTTCCATTATTGTTATAAATAATAGACCTCTTGATTAGTTGGTTAGATCTAGATAGCATTTATTGACTCCCCATAATGAAAGAAGAGGAAACTATTGCATTATCCTTTTCCACCTCCCAATCTGAGTCAGGTCCATTACCAATTCATTCACTTATTCAATAGTTATTTATTGAAGTCCTACTGTGTACCAGGCAACATTTTAGGTGTTGGAGCTACAGAGGTGAAGAAAACAGATAAAGTCCCTGTCACCACAGAGCCTACAAGAGGAGATAGATAATAAATAGGGAAAGAGGGAATTGTAGATGACGATATATTTTATTGACAAAAATCAAGCAGGGAGGAGATACAGTGTGTGTCTGTGTCTAAGAGGAGGGTTAAGGTTTGAAGCAGGGTGTTGGGTGACATCTTGCACAGAAGGTCATATCTGAACAAAGAACTGAGTGAGGTGGAGAAGTAAACCGGGAAGTAAACCAGGTGGTGGTGTGGGAGAGTGGTCCAGGCACTGAGAACGGCAGGTGCAAAGGCCCGGAGGAGGTCTGCCTTGTCAGGAGTGGTGCCAGAGATGGGTGGCTGCAGTGGGGGCAGGGGTGGAGTGGGGGTAGGGTGCAGGAGGTGAGGCCAGAAAGCAACAGGCAGGTCCTAGAGGGACTTGCAGTGACATCCCTCCCAGTCGCTTTCCTCAGAGTTAGGTGAGAAGACTCTGGTAGATTTTTAGCAAAAGGAGCGATATCATTTTGCTTTGGTTTTGTGTTTTTTTTGGTGTTAATCTAAATTTAAATTAATTAATAAAATTACCTTCAGTGTTCTTTCTTCGTTTTGTTTGATAATTTATTATCCTGAAACATAGTTTATATTAAGTAAATGTTCTCGAAAATGAAAGCTGTGTGATTTAGTGCATCTCTCTGTGTTCTATCCTAGTCTCGACCTTACCTTCTCCCCATCTTTCTTTCCCTTCCTCTCTACAATGTCTCCCTCCTCCCCATGCAGGGTGGGGTGGCTGAGATCTAGCTAGAACCATTTCCAGTACACTCTTCCCCGGGGCCATTTTAGAGTTTAGCCTGTTCCAGCTGGACTCGGATTGACAATGCAGATCGGTTTTCCCTTTGGGGTGGGCAGAGGGAGGAGTCAGCTTTGGGTTGCTACCAGGGTACATTCTGTCCATCTGTCTGATATATAATCAACAAGTCAATAAGAATTGAGTAAGAATCTCCCGGCCCCAGCACTGCCCCAGCCCAGTGGCCCAAGGAGGCTAGGCTGCAGCTCCTGTTGGAGCTCCGTGGAGCTAGGGATACCCTGGCTGGGTGGTGGCACAGCACCGCCCCCTCTGCACCCTGTTCTCCTGGCCTTTGAAAGCTTCTTGATCTTCTGATAGCCCAATAATCCAGCCTGGGCCTGAGAGTCTCCCAGAAGAGGCTACCAGGCAAGATGCCAGTTTTAGGGGATGAGTCATCTTCCCTTGTCCCAAGAGGTCATGAGACTAGAGGACAAGACTCCCAGGTTCCAAGGGTCTACTCAGGCCATTAGGAAGTTGTGGTGTTGCTGGGAACTGTGTGTTTAGTTGGCAATGACCCTTCCAGCATTAGAGTGTACTGGCTGAGTTTCCTCCTAGGGTCTCCTCTTTGCCCACTCACTCTTGCTACCCCATGTTCCTGATTTTTTGTTGTTATTGTTGTTTTGTTTTTGCTGTGATAGCGATGGAACCCAGGGCCTTGCGCATTCTAGGCAAGCACTCTGCCACTAAGCTACAGCCCCAGCCCTCTAGCTCCCCACCTTCCCCACTTCTGTGTCTAAAAATCTAGCAGCCTTCCACTCAGCAGCCGAGGAGGAAAACGTGGATGACTGGGTCATATCCAATATCATGCCTCTAGTAGAGGCAGTATGGCTCTGAGTCCTGTTAGCCACCACACATTCTCATCCTGGCTTTAACATTACAGAATGTTGTGTGACCTCGTTTAGGTTGCTTGTCCTCTCTGGGTCTGATTTTTTATCATCAGAAAAATGGGCACAATAATAATACTTTTCTGTCATAAGGATATAAAACATGTGCTAGGACTCTGTAAATTTTAAAAACCTGTGTATGGTGAATTAACTTGAAACTGGAGAGAACATAAACGAGACCCAGGCCCAGTGCCAGGACAGGAGGAACTGATAGAGATGGGAGAGTTAGCGGTACAGCCTGTTCTCTAGCCCATTTCCTCAAGGACAGAACTTTGGGTCATGGTAGGACTCCGTCAGGTTGGTGCATTCAGGAAATTCCTGTGGAGGAGTGGGGGAGAAAAGAGCCAGGGAGGGCATGCTGGCAGACAGGGCTGTGGCCACTTCAAGCTCTTCTGCTGCTGTCCTCTGGGTCTTAGGAGACACCTACCTATCTTGTTTGCTTCTCTTCTTTTATGTCTATTCCCTCTCCTCGAGGGGCATTCTGGGAGTCAATAGTTAGTGGTTTGTGTGTGCACGTCATGTGCATAGGGCTGTGTCTGGGAGGCTGATTTCTGCCTTTTTCCAGACCCTGGAAGGAGAGAGCACCCCTGGCCCACAACTGGACCCTCCCTGTGCCCGTTAGTTTCTGCTCACTGGACATGACAGAAACACAGGGTGTGGTGCAAAGAGGTCTCCTCTCTGCCATTATTATGTATCATTATTCTCATAACAATCTATCATTAACATGTCCATGAATAGGCTCTTAAGAACTTTGGCCTGGAGGAGCTGACCAAGATGGGGCAGAGGAGAACCCAGGGAGCCATCTTGCAGCACCTGGCCTAAGCCAGTCTCTCCACCCTGTCCAAAGGAAAGGTAACAGAGGGAAGGAATCACAGTTGCTGGGGCTTGTTCTAGCCTTTCAGAAGTGTTCTGTAGCTTATTCATCACAACAGCTCCATGAGACGAGAAGAAATTAATCCTTCCATTTGACAGATGAGGAAGTGGAAGGACATTAAGGGAATTGCCACACTAGGGTGTGGGGAAGAGGGAGGTTTGTACCCCACAGGGCAGAGTGTTATTGTGGTGTTCACACAATAACACTCCTAGGCAGAAAAGGGAAAGAAGGCTTTTCCCTCCACATCCCTCCCTCTTCAGTGTCTAGAGAGACGTCCATTCTCTTGGGATAGGGGACAGGGGAGAGAGATTCTGTAGGGAGGAAGCCCCTAGGCCGGAGCAGACTGACTACGCCAAGGCATCAAAGGTCATGGGGTTGAGCACCTGCCACCTCCAAGTACATGCCAGGGAGAGGACTGCAAGCAGTGACATCCCCAGATCGCTGTCAGTCACTACAGAGAGGCTTTGATTGATCTCAGCTCACCTCTCCCCAGTTCGCACTGGCAACTCTCTACAGGTCTCCCAGCAGCAGAGAAGGTGGGCCGTCCAGGCAGTGGACAGTTATGGACAGCCTCTCTAGGGCCCGCACAGGGGAGAGAGGTCTTTTCTCTGCCATTATCATGTATCATTTAAATCTGTCATGGGGGAGGAAATCTGTCGATGGGGGAGGAACCCAACACGGGCTCCTGGCTGAGGCAATAGGCCAGAACTCCCGCGGCCTGGGAAGCATCCAGCAGCTGTCTGACGCCCACTGGGCGAGCGGTGCCACAATGCGCTAGCTGAGCAAACCCACCCCCTTGCAAGCAGTGACCGTTCATCTAGAAGACGCTCCTTCCCCTCTCTCCCGCCTCTCCTCCTCTGTCCAAGGCCTGGGGGGCTGTGATTCCAAGAAGCGGCAGACGGCGGGCCAGAAGGCTTGGACTGCTGGGTAAGCGCCCCCGCTGGGTCCCGGTCCTCCCCGCCCCGCGCCCTGCGCCTGCAGAGTGTGGCGGAGCCCCGCCCCCCGGGGCCCTGCCCGGGCGGGTGCGCAGCGCGGAGGGGGAGGGCCGGCGGGGCAGGAATGCGGGGCGGGCGGCGCAGGAGGCGAGCGGCGGAACATGTAAGGACACATCCCGCGAGCTGCCGCCCAGCGCGCAGACAGAGCCCAGGGGAGCGAGCGAGCGAGCGGACCGGCGGGCGGTGGGGCTTACGGACCCGGGAGGCTCAGCGCACTGGCCAGCGGCGCGGCGGGACCGCTCGGTGCGGAGGAACCCAAGCTGGTTGCAGCGAGCGGCAGGCGGGGGCAACAGCACGCACTGCCGGCGCGGTCGTGTCCGAGGACCGCGGTGCGGACTCAGGTGGTCAGGGCGCACTGCCAGCCGGCCCCGGGGCCAGAATCCGGCGCTGCAGAGCCGGGAGGGGCGCCGCGCCCGCCGCAGCCTCTAGCGTTCTTGGAACCCCGGAGTGCCCATGACGGCGGCGGCGACAGTGCTCAAGGAGGGCGTGCTGGAGAAGCGCAGCGGCGGGCTGCTGCAGCTGTGGAAGCGCAAGCGCTGCGTGCTCACCGATCGCGGGCTGCAGCTCTTCGAGGCCAAGGGCACCGGTGGCCGGCCCAAGGAGCTCAGCTTCGCCCGCATCAAGGCTGTGGAGTGCGTGGAGAGCACCGGGCGCCACATCTACTTCACACTAGTGACCGAGGGTGGCGGTGAGATCGACTTCCGCTGCCCCCTCGAAGACCCCGGCTGGAACGCGCAGATCACCCTGGGCCTGGTCAAGTTCAAGAACCAGCAGGCCATCCAGACAGTGCGGGCCCGGCAGAGTCTGGGGACTGGGACCCTGGTGTCCTAAACCACCAGGCATACCGTTTTACCGTCATGCTCCCCACCACCACGGTGCTCAGAGGTCATGCCAGGTAAGATCCTAGGAGACTGAGCCCTCTTTCTCTCCTTCCCTCCCCCTCCTCTATTCCCTACAGAGAAAATCAGGGACCAGACCTCAACTTCAAAACCGGACAATCCTAGGGAAGGTTCCTGGGGCCAACAGAGAATAGGAGCTCAGGAGTCTGAGCTTGGGAGGCCTAGTGGGTGGTGGCCAACCAAGCAGAGTTGGCCTTTCCCCTGCTGTGCCATGCAGCAGGGTCGTGAATGTGACCTAGGTATCTGAGAGGGAGCAGGGACAAATGGAATGGGCCTCCCCACAGGTAGCCCTGACTTATATGAAGGGACATTGGCCTGCAGGAAGTGCACTCCCATCCCCCACCCCACAGGCTCCTGGTTGTGGCTTTCTGGGACCTGGGGAAAACTGAGGTTGGGGATGAGAAGCAGAAACCCACTTCCTTCTGCTAGATTGAAGCTTGTCACAGAGTTTGAGCATTGACTTGAGGCAGAAAGGCATATCCTTTGGGTAACAAAGGGGTCTTCAGGATTAGAATCAAAACCAAGGAGTCCTTGCTCCAGGTGGGTCCTCAGAGGAGGCCTTGCCTGGCTGGCCTGAGGGTCCAACTACCCTTTCTGGAGGCTGGGTTTTGGGCCTGGGGCTGAGTGTTTGGGAGAACAGGAGAGCCAGGGGAAGAGATAGGCAGGCCAAGGCCAGGCCACTGATACCCAGGGGATGTGCCTGTCTGTCCACCTGTCTAGCCAAGAACCAACCAAGCCTGGCTAGGCCAATGGAGCGGAAGCTGACAAGAGGAGACAGGGCACTGAGGAGGGTGGCTGGCTGGTGGGTACAGGATGGGGTCATGAGTTGTTATTTGTGATGTCTTAATCCTCCTTGAGCAGTAGGGCAGAGGATGGAGGGCTGATTTGTGGTCAGGAAGGCTCAGGGGAGGGACCAGGAATAGAACCTAGAAGCCTGGCACTCAGCCCCATGCCCTCTTCCCCAGATGCCACTCCCTCCCCGTGGGAACTTGGAGCAGGGTTGGGGAAGGGTTTATACCACTCTCGGCTAACTTCTGAGGTAGAAACCTATGTCCCCCCATCCCCACTCCACCCCCCATAATACCTCAGGTGCCTCGCCCTGCATTTTCTCTGGTTTCAACAAGTAGAGAGTCCCAGGAACCTGGGGCTCCATCTAGTGTCATGGCCCCTTTGATCCTCCTGTTAACTCCCTCCCACGCTATAGTGAGGGTTGGACACAAGGCTGGATGGGAGGCTGGGTGTAAGACAGACCTGCTGTACTCGAATGGGTCTACATTGATCCCTCAGGCCTAGGAAGAGGTGGTCTGTGGGGGGAGGGGCGGATTCCACTGAGCACAGTCAGCTCTGTATCCAGGAGGACTGCATCGGGGATTCAACCAACTCAGAATCCAAAATAGCTGGATAAAAATTATGTTATTTTGAACATGTACAGACTTTTTTGAGTTCAAACAATACAGTATAACAACTATATTAACAGTATAGTAACTATTACAAGTAACATATACAGGAGGTATGCATAGGTCATATGCTAAACCATGCCATTTTATATAAAAGACTTGAACATCAGATTAGGGTATTCATGGGGTGCCCTGGAACCACCCTGTGGGTAACTAGGGACTGCTGTATTATTTTTCTGCTTGTCCTGGTATGGAAAAGGGTGGGAGGGTCTGGTGTGATACACTCAGCTCCTAGAAGATTCTGTACTCCAGGTTGCCTCTGTCCTAACCACTGTTCTTTCTCTCCAGCTTCCTTGCCCCCGTTGGCTGGTGGGAGCCTGACTGTGCTTCATGTGGTGAGGCAGGTGCCATGGACTGTGGAGGAGGCATTGGAGCTGAAGGAGTGGACAGAGCGAGGGGAAGAGGACAGAAGCCTCCCCCTGCCCCGGGGCTGAGGATGAAGATTCAGATCCTGGATGCCTGGACTGGCAGGAAATGCCCAGCTCAGGGTCTTCTAGCCTCACATGTGACGGCAGAGAGTTGGCATCAAAGCCCTCCCCACTGTGATCCGGCCTTTGGTTCTGCAGACTGCTGTTAGTCCCTGGCTTTGCTCCAGGCCCTGGGGAAGGCAGTCCCCCATGGGGTGCTTGGCCAACTCCACAGGACTCAGGAGGCCAGCCTAGTGTCCAGAGAACAAACCATCCTCGGACAGCCTCTGGACTCATCTCAAGGAGGGGGAGCTGCTGGGCCTGAGGCCCATTCCTGGGGGTCTCCTGCTGCTTAGGTCCTTTTGGGACCCCCACCCATCCAGGCCCTCTCTTTGCACACTTCTTCCTCCACCTCTACCCATCTTCACCCACTGTGGTGCTAGGCCTGGAGGTGGTGGGGGTGGGGTGGGGGTTTGGCCATTACCATTTCATGCGTATTTGGAAATGAAGATGTCCCACAAAGGGTAATAACCACACTGTTTGCTGAGTGAATTCTTTGCCCACAAACACCCAGAGCTTGGAAGGTCTCTGCCTCCACCACACTTTCCCAATCCATAATCCATTTAGAAATCTCTAGCCTGGTAGGGGACATGCCTTAGTGGCTCTAGGAATAAGGGGCCTCAGTGTTACTGAGAGATGTTATCTAATTCTGTACCTATAAATGCTTCTTCTACAGAAGGTTACCTTGCCCCTTCCATCCTGGAAGATGGCTCAGATTTCTGGGCAGAACTTAACTCCCTGTCATTTACACCCTCAGGCTTATGCATCTATACAGTAAGTGAGTGTTCCTTGTTGGGTGGCTTAAAAGAAATAATTTCAACATGGGGGACACTAAAATGCAAGTAGCTGCGCTGAGTTATTCAGAAATTGCTAGTTAGTTCCCCCCACACCAATGGGCTTTCTGCATTATAGCCAACAGTCTACTCTTCTTCCTTTCCTCCATCTTTCATCATGTCTGACCTTCTGGGGTGGAACAGTGGCCTACTCCAGAGCCTCTGGAAGGAGCAAGAAGGCTGAGTGACTCCCTTCAACAGTGTGAAGGCTTTGCTAACCTCTTTGTGCTTCCAACCTGTTTTGTTTTCCTTCAGATTTCCTCTATCTGCCAATCAATCAGTCCCCCTGTCCCAGTCCCTCAGTCCTCAGGAGCATCTCGCTCATCTGAGATGTGAACTGAGTTTCACAAATGAACACGAATTTACAATTTACAAAGGAACTTTTTAATATCCCACTTTGTATGTCATCAAGTTGTCCAACCACCTGTGGATAACTGAATCTCATCATGGCAGATAAGCATCACCTTCCATATCATCCCCATCAGTACTATGAAGGAAGGAGGCTGCCACCCTCTCTCTATTCAAGCTACGTCACTGGGAAAGGGTGAGCTGCTCCATCTCCCTATAAAGCAGCCATTGCTAAAGCAGAATCTTCACTATTTCAACCAAACACAAGGGTGACTGATGGAAGGGATTAAGGTGTAAAGGAAAGAGTTATCCGGGCCCTCAGCAATGGGAGTGTTGTGAAGGTTTGGGATAACAAGACAATTACTCAGCAAACGAAATGCCTCTAATGGGGCAGGCACTCTGCTCTGCACTGAGAATGTAGAAGCAAAAAGGTACCATGCAATCCTTGTCCCCAGGAGCCAGAGCCCAGTGGGGTGATAAATCAATGCCAGTTGGTACCAATGGAGCTGGCCACAGGGAGCCGAAAGGATGCCTGGTTATGTGTGTCCTCTGTCTCTCGATACGTTGGCCTTAGCAGAGCTGGGAGGGCTTATTCTGGGAGCTTGGCTGCAAAGGGCAGTGAGGGGCATAGCTAGAGTGGGGTGTGTTAGGGCAGAGGGCAGGTGGAGGGTGAAAGGGCAGGCAGGCCAGTTTCTGGCGCTCCTTACTTTTTTGGAACGCTTAGCCCTGTCGATTCCCAGGAAGGCTTTGGTTCTTGTTCAAAGCAGCTTCAGTTTCTCCCTGACTAGGAGAGTCCCAGGCCCTCTGAAGTGCATTGCTATGAGACCATCCCCAGACCTTGGAATGCAGTTAACTCCCAGGACACAACAGTGTAGGCTGGGGCTGTTGTAATGAATGGTCATTTAGCACCAGAACTGGGGCTTCTCGAGGATTCTAAAAGCCCTGAGAACACAGAGGTCTGAGGTTCCCAAGCCAGGTTTTTAAAAAAGAATGGTGACCTCTTTAGGGAATCGCTGCCTCTTTGATAGGGAGGGGAGCACCCTGCTTCCTGGGTTCAGGGGTGTCTTCACTGCTTTGAATTTTGTGACTCTGAATTTCAAAGCAGCAAAGAACTTTACCCTATGAATGCTTGGCTGGACCGCAGAGTAGGGTCAAGGCCCCTTTGGGGGGGTACAAACAGGCTCTGATGGTGCCAGCTGATATGCAGGAGATGGAAAAACTTTGCTCAGTTGGGCCGGAGGACGCTGTAAGTCCAGGGAGGGGCTGTTGCCACCAACTTTCCCCCTGCCCTGGCAGCCCTGGCCTCACCCCCACCCGATACATGAGTCATCAATGGGAAAATGAGACAGGGCAAGTCTCAGCCGAGCAAATGGGAGTCCACCTCGGTGGGGTGGGGTGGGGAGGCCAAGGGAAGAAGGGACGGGCTTGGTCTGGTCAGGGTGAGCTGGGGTTGGGAGCTGAGGCTTTGGCAAGAGTGAGCCTGTTGCAAGGCTGAGAATGGAGCTGAATGTGAAGAGCTAGATGAGAGTCCGCGAGCTGGGATTGCAGCAGGAAGGAGTCAGAACAGATGTACAGGGCAGGGTGGACTGTCACCTGGAAATCTAGGGCAGATGTGCAGGCATTGTGGCAGCTGCCCCACTGGGGCCATGAACCAAGGACCCTGGCAAGACTGTGTCTGGCTGGGTGCCAAGCTGCCTGCGGCTGCATACAGAACCCTGGCTCAATATCCTCGAGCCTCCTGCTCCAGTCTGCCTTCCACAGTCCAACCAACGTGATCCATGCAGGATGAAGTTCACGCTCCGCTAAAATTGCAATGCCGGAAGGCCAAGCTCCCCAACAGTGCCTGCTTTCTCTCTGGGTGTTTCTCTCTACACTCTCCACGCTCTGATCTCCTGCCTGCAACTGTCCCCATCCCAGAAACAGTGAAGGCTGCCTCACACTGCCAGGCGGGCACCCTGCACTCTTCCTACACATTTTCTTATTGGTAGCTTGGCGTTCTCTCATGCCAGTGCCTCTGAGAAGCCTTCCATGACTGCCCTGTCTACAGGCCAGCTGGAGCCCCTGCTGCCTCCTATGTGTGGCTCTTCCTCCTCTATCAATTACGCTGCATCGCAGTCACTCGTTTACATGTCTGCCTGTGCCACTAGACTGCTCTGTTCTTAGGTTTGTTATGTGTGTATTCTGGTGCCTGAGAGTATCTGGCACACAGTAGAATCTTAATCATAATAATGGCAAACACTGTATGTTGATTCTGTGCTAGGCATTGATCCAAGAGCTGTACAAGTATGTGTACAATGTTAAATCACTTAGCACTCCAACACTCTGTGCCGTAGTTGCCATTACTAAGGCTCCATGCTTTACCTTAAGAAACTGAGACCCAAAGAAGGGAAATGGCTGTGGGCTAGGGAGGGGGATTCTCTTGTTTTAACACTGAAATTTCCACATCCTGCAAAGCCCTCAATCCTGGACAAACTGGAATGTTAGTCACCAACTCCTCTTCTGCCCCAGCACTAAGTCCTGTTGAGGGGGTCATGGCAGAGTCCAAGACTATGGGCTATAGGGTATGGCCCAGAGCATCAGCCAGCCCTGACCCAGGCACCATCAGTGTCTCCTGCCATCTTAGAGGAGGGACCGAGGTCCCGGCTGCAGGGAAGAAAGCCAGCTGGGTGTCTCTCTGGGGCTTTCTAATCAGCTTGGGGGCTTCTCCTGAGCTCCATTTACATTTCAGAGTCCAGCTTAACCCTAGTCCTTGTTTACCACCTGCCCAGATCCTGCCCAGATCTGGCCTCAAGGAGTCCTCAAGTTCACTGAGACAGAGGGCAGCAAGGGAAAGATACAGGCAGAACACTGAAGGGCTGTCAGGGGCATGCAGGGTACATTTATTTAAGGGGGTCTCTGAGGGGAGGAGAGGATGCTGGCTGTGGTGGTGGTGGGAGGACATTCCAGGTGGAAGAAATCTCCTGAACAAAGGTGACAGGACCGGAAAAGCTGAGGTGACTCAAACAGGGAACTTAAAGAGGTCTTCATAGATCCAGGAGCATCACAGCTGAGCTTAGAGGAGATGGCCTGGCGCACACTGAGTGCTGGCCCGGGGCTGGGCTTCTCTCTACAAGAGGGGAGCCATTGCAAAGCTCTGCTGCAAACACACACATACACACACACACACACACACCCCTTTATTTTTATCATATTTATTGAAGAAAAATGTGAAAGTTAAGAAAATTATAAAGAAGACAGCAAATGTACTTGCATATTCTTATATCTTGGGGTTCATCTTTGCATTTCCATCTGCTATACTTCTTTCTTTCTTGCAGTGCTGGGGATCCAAACCAGGGCTTCGTGTGTGCTAGTCAAGAACTCTACCACTGAGCTACATTCCCCAGCTCCTCTCTCTACATTTATTTATATGCAAATATATAATATAAAAATATAATATGTAATTGCATTTCATAATGGGGTCATGTTGTTTGTATTCTATTATATTCTGGTTCTTGATGAATCAGTGTATTTTGGTTATGGGGCAATACCATTAATAGTTTTTTTAAATGTCTCTGTGTTTATTCTTATTATATTTACTATTATCTATTCAACAACACAATCCTTCATGGTTGGGCACTCATATCCTTTTCATTTTTTCTCATATAAGGCAGAGATGACCACTTGTATAATCAAGTTTCTGGTTATGTCCTCAGGATAATAATTGGAGTGTAACGATCAGGTCCCCATCAGAGAGCAGGACTGAGGTTGGTCTGGTCCATTAGGAGGCAGAAGAGAGAGCCCTGGAGCCGGGAAGTCAGGTAGGAGTTGAGGTATCGAGGGCTGGAAGGCCAGTGGAAGGAATGGAAATGGGGACGGGTGGCAAGGATGAGACTGAGTCCAGTCTGTAAGCACCCACTTCAGGGCAGGTACCTCAGCAACTTATGTCACCACGTGGAGGCATTCCAGCAGCAGTGGAAAACTCAAATCACAGCCCTGAGTGTGAATCTTCCCTGTGTCTCACACTGGCCCTGTGCTTGGCACCCTGTTAAAACAGGGATGGTAATGGCTTTCTAGGATGGTTGTGAGAACTAATTGAGAATGCCTGTTAAGCAGATAAAGCACACAGATAGCGAACACTCAATGTTTGTTTTTATAGCAGTATAATAATCCTCCCAGCAACCTTGCTTTGCCTAATCCCAATTTAGAAAACTGCATGTAATTAACAACTCAAATTAGTAGCACTTACCTGGTGCTTTTACCTAATACCAATCCCTAGAGTCCATGGAGTGTGGTCTAAATTTCAGACTTACCTCC